TGCATAGGTGAGTGCACTTCGGTTTTCAACAAAAACGAGGCTTTGATACCAAGTTGAAAATAAGAATGCGGAAGAGAGAAAATAAGGAATTTTCAATATATTTTGATATATTATAACGAAGATTACATCAGCCTATTTATAACCTTTATAAGATGACAATCTAAGGAAATCAAACCAAATATGCATAATCAAAAGAAATATAGAAAATCAGAGAAAATATCCTAAATATTCCTAAAAGATTTCTAAATATCTTTGGTATTCATATCTCAATAGCCAGGATAATTTTACGGTGCTTGTTATATCATTTTAAAATGTAAAAAATAACATAAAAAATCGTAGTTTTTGTAAACAGGGATAGTTTGAGAAATAAGACTTCCATAATTATAGCCTATTTTGTTGAGGTTCTCCATGGGAGTTATAGTTGTGAAAAAGGTCATGCAGCTTTTGTAAGGTATTTGTTAAGCTCCTCACAATCGCAGCCGGTGGCATCCTAAAAGCTGTAGCAATCTAAGTAATATCCGATTCTCAAGGTGTCGCAGTTTTAAAACTTAAATTACTAGACACAAATAGTACATTGAGTAAAAATGTGCGATATGATGCTTCATTCGGCGGAAGAATAATGTTGGGTCAACTTTCAATATTTCAAGGATTATATTAGATAAAAACAAGTTTAAGGATCACATTAAACAACGTCGAAAAGTTCAAAAACTTCCTTTAGCCTTAAGAACAGTTGCGAGATCTTAAAGCTCAATTCCTATTCAGTATGTCACAAAAGAATAGTTCTCGACAAACTCCCTCAATGTGAATGCTTTTCTTGCCTTTAATTGAGTCAAAAAAGTGCACTTGATATGATGTGTGAAAATGAACTTAAGATTCACATTGTAGTAGCGCGACAAAATGAAAGGAAAATATTAGTATATAAGATTGATATAAATTGATACTTATATGATGCGGTAGATTATTATTAAATCTATCAAAATGGGTCATGAACTTAAGATTCACATACGATGACCTGAGTAGTTATATGAGTTAGTTATATTCAGTAAATGAGTCATAAATTAACTTAAACATAATATGGGTGTTAGATGGGCTTATAAATTACTTAGACCCAACCAATATCTATGATTCTCTTTCATCCTCATTTGATCTCGCATTCACTCACTTCGCACTCTCAGCTCAATTTGAGTATAAGTTTTCCTAGATTAGCTTAAATATAAAAGTATTTTAGTAATATAGGTCAAATCGGGATATTGATTGGGTATGTGCTGGGTCGGGTATGGATCGTTAAATTGCAATGCATGGAAATGGGCCAAAACTAATTAAATTGATCTATTTGAGTGGGGCTATTTTTTACCCGACCCGACTATTATCAAAAATCTGTGAAGACCCTCCTCCAACCGTAGTGCCGAGTTTAGACCGGTCCCATGACCGAATGTCCCGGTTCAAGTAATCCCGTAGCGATATGGGCCGGTTCGCCGGTGACGTCGAGACCCCCGATGGCGACGCGACGGAGAGTGGTCTCCGGCGAGCGAGTTGTGCGGACGGAAAAGCTCGCCGGAACAGCACCGGCTCATCGGACCGCATTGCGACGGTTGATTTCTAATCCAAACCAGCGGCAGGGAAACACTTGTTGTCGGCTTGTGTCGGCGAGAACGGACTCGTGGAGGTTGTATCCTACAAAGTGAAGCGATAGAAGGACATATGTTTGGGTTAAAGTGAAACGATTCATGATTTTTGTTGATATGAATTTTTCTGGAAGTTTTTTTTTTCTCGTTTTATCATATGAATAGATGTCTGAAATGATCCGAATTTTCACTGATTTTCATCGCAGGAACTTGGGTCGGAATGACTTGACCGGATCAATCTCATCGCGAATTGGCAATCTGGGTCGCTTGCAACTCTTGTAATCCCCAATAGTGACAAGAACAATATGATTTGATTAAAGGGTTGTATCTAATGGTTTTTATGATGTGAAGTTGTTTTTGGCCCCTCCTTAGTTATTGCCACATTCTACTGTTTTTTGGAGCCTTAATGCCAATGCATTCTCTGGGGAGCTTCCGAATGAGATCGGAAATCCCGCTGAGCTGCTAGTACTGTTAGTCATGCTTGTTGGCGGTCGATTTGTCATGCTTGCTATTATTTCTCAGTCACAATGCTGCGGTGAACTTTGTAGCTTGACTCGATGTTTGTCTATCTTCCCTAAGCTAGTTGATGCGTATCGGAGATGTTTGCAGTGACTTGAGTGTATCTCAATCACAGAGAATCATAGAGTTACTTATACTCCGTTTCTTAATGCATGTGTTAGTTGTCGATCTTGAGAATTGAAGAGTTCATTCAAATCAATATATGTTAAATTCTCATCACATGCTTTTGGATTGCATACAGTAGGCCTCCATTTTTGTTCAGTCAAGAGGAATGTGAAGTGATTTTGTCTGTTGTTACTGTAGAGACATCAAGTTCCATGTTTGAGCAACCTTTCCCTGTTATAAGAGATCTGGAAGTGATATAAACTGCGAAAGGATAGGTTTATTCTATGCTGGATCAAGTGAAATTGTCTTGGAGCCATTGTTAAGGTGAAATTTATAACTTAGAGGACAAAGTTAGTGAGCTTTCTTGCATCACCATGAGCAAAGCATGCATTGGTGTCAGAAAGTTTGTGTAAATAGAAAGAAGATAATGCCAAATTTGGCATATGGTAGTTGACTTTTTGTATTTACTGAATCACATATGGAGGTAAGAGAACACTTAAGCACGAAAGGTTTATAATGATTGTATATGCATTAGTTTGTCCATGCTTCTGTAGATATGCAATGGAATTTTTGCTTATTCCCCAATAAATTAGTACCATGTCCAATTAAATGCCCCCTAGTTACAAGTATTACAGATCCATTCGTTGTTCTCTTTTGCTCCTTTAGATCCATCTGAACATGATGACTATTGAGATTTGCACTCGTTGCAGGTCATTCACAGAAAATAACTTCTCTGGTTACTAGTACTGTTAGTCATGCTTGTTGGCGGTCGATTTGTCATGCTTGCTATTATTTCTCAGTCACAATGCTGCGGTGAACTTTGTAGCTTGACTCGATGTTTGTCTATCTTCCCTAAGCTAGTTGATGCGTATCGGAGATGTTTGCAGTGACTTGAGTGTATCTCAATCACAGAGAATCATAGAGTTACTTATACTCCGTTTCTTAATGCATGTGTTAGTTGTCGATCTTGAGAATTGAAGAGTTCATTCAAATCAATATATGTTAAATTCTCATCACATGCTTTTGGATTGCATACAGTAGGCCTCCATTTTTGTTCAGTCAAGAGGAATGTGAAGTGATTTTGTCTGTTGTTACTGTAGAGACATCAAGTTCCATGTTTGAGCAACCTTTCCCTATTATAAGAGATCTAGAAGTGATATAAACTGCGAAAGGATAGGTTTATTCTATGCTGGATCAAGTGAAATTGTCTTGGAGCCATTGTTAAGGTGAAATTTATAACTTAGAGGACAAAGTTAGTGAGCTTTCTTGCATCACCATGAGCAAAGCATGCATTGGTGTCAGAAAGTTTGTGTAAATAGAAAGAAGATAATGCCAAATTTGGCATATGGTAGTTGACTTTTTGGATTTACTGAATCACATATGGAGGTAAGAGAACACTTAAGCACGAAAGGTTTATAATGATTGTATATGCATTAGTTTGTCCATGCTTCTGTAGATATGCAATGGAATTTTTGCTTATTCCCCAATAAATTAGTACCATGTCCAATAAAATGCCCCCTAGTTACAAGTATTACAGATCCATTCGTTGTTCTCTTTTGCTCCTTTAGATCCATCTGAACATGATGACTCTTGAGATTTGCACTCGTTGCAGGTCATTCACAGAAAATAACTTCTCTGGTTCTCTACCACGCACTTTTGGAAATCTCACAAAGTTAAGAAAGTTGTAAGTCTCTTCATGTTCTGAAGCTCCCTCTCAAAATTTGTTACACACCGAAGTTGCATATAGTCTTCCAACTTTTGTTCCCTTTTTATTTTAGTTCCCTTATATTGGGATCCTCACTCAGCTTATATAAAAGCACATGCTATGATATGGAATATCAGTGATGGTCTCTTGAGTTAGCTGAAAAGTCATTTATCACTTCTCCATAGATTCGAACTAGAAACACTCTAATTCAAATATGTGTATGTTGTCTTAAACTCCATTTGTCTGTTATCATGTCTGTATCCTTTTCTTGTTTGCCAACACTATCATAAAAGGTGGATGTTGTTTGGTATCAACTGTTTTCTTGTCAAATTAAAGTGAAGAAAAGGTTCCTTCTTTTGTTTTCTAATCACCTGCTTCTACTTTTATCACCATTTATTGCTTAGTTGATTTTTTAAAATCTTCTTCTTTTATCAAGAGAAAACACAAATCTTGTCTATTCAGCTTTTCATGAAATTTTAATGTGACAGAGACTTCTCTAGCTCAGGAATCAGCGGTCCGATTCCTTCATCTTGTGCAAATCTTGCAGATTTAAATATCCTGTAAGAGCCTATAAAACCTTTTGTTCCCAGTGGCGTGCACTCTTAGGACATCTCTGTGAGTTGTAAATCATTACAGACATCAGGCATACTGATATTCTCTGAATCTCAGGTGGGCATCTGACAATAATCTCAATGGCTCCATCCCTGACTTCATAGGAAACTGGCTCAAACTCACTGAGCTGTACGGTGGCATAGTTTGATTTATCATCCGATTTCCTGTCCATTCCCTTATGGAAATGGAACCTAGGTTCTCTGTATGCTGGATCTTGTTGCTGAAGTCAAATTAATAATCATCTTGTCCTTATTGTAAATGTAGGAGGCTGCAAGGCAATTTTGCCGGTCCAATACCATCAAACTTTTCCAAATTAATTTCTTTGAAAGAATTGTAAGAATATTCATCGTCAACCAAGTACTATTTTTTTTCTTCTTTTCGTTGTTTCTACATGACTAATTTCTGGATAACCTAATAAGTAACTTGAATTCTAGGAGAGTCTCCAAGATTTCTGGTGGCTTCTCTACGCTAGAATTTCTGAAGGATATGGGGAATCTCCCAACTTTGTAAGGCAGCCTTAGTTAAATTTGACACATTTTAATGTTTTCTCCATCCAGTTATATTGAAGTTTGACTGCTTGCAGAGTTTTGAGGAATAACCAAATTTCTGATACTATTCCACCATATATCAGTAATAATAAAAATTTAGAGCACCTGTAAGTTGTCTTCCAAGTTCCAATTATTGAAAAGCATCTGCAATCCTCAGGTTTTATTTTGAGAAGAATATATGATGCTAAAACATTAATCCTATTGTTCCCTGCGGGAATTCATTCGTTTTGGAGCCCAAGAGCTTATTTTGCCATTGTTCCCAAGAAAGGGAATGTTTGTTTCAGCTTTGGGCCAATTAAATAAGCCATGTCGAATTTCCTACTGAAAATAAAGATATTTCAAGGATGATGAAGAAATTTGGGGGTGACTTTAAATGCTAAGATACTGGTATTTGTAAAATACTGAGGGTCTAACCTATATAAAGTCGAATTTAACTCTCTAAAGGTTAAAGATAAAGTGAAACGTTAAAAGCAAAGGTCATGACAGTTGACAGACACCCATTGGTCTGACTATTTAGTTATGAAACATACTATGTCTTTTGTGTCTTCATTTGTTGCTTTCTGGGAATTCTTGAATGCAACCTTATCCATGCGCCTCTTTATTTTTTGTCCTTTTTTGTCACACTCAATAACCAAATCTTATTCTGTTTAATAAGGTTGATTTCCAGCGGGCTCAGAGTTTTGGTTGACTCACACTGATTCTAATAGATTGATTCTTCTTGCAAGAAAATCATTGACTTTTTCTCATGCTCTTATTGATGATTTTTCGCCTTGCAGAGACTTAAGCTTCAATTATTTACATGGATCAATTCCAGACTCCATATTCACATTAGACTCACTTTCTTATTTGTAAGGAATCTATATAAGATTAGTCAGCCAAATCAGTTGAGATATTCTATCCAATATGAAATAATGCCTATTTCATGCTTAGGTCTCTCGGGAGTAATAAGTTGAGTGGAGCCCTCCCCTCAAAGAAAGGCATCTCTCTTGTTTATATGTGAGTGAACCAAACCGATGAGCATCTACTAAACTGCATGACATTGTGGGATCAATTTGACTGAACAGGTTTGTGTAACAGAGATCTCTCTTACAATAACTTATCTGGCAACTTTCCTTCTTGGGTCACGGAAAATATTCAAAGGTAAGTATAGAAGCTTCAACTGAAAGTACTCTGTTTCTTGTTTTGCCCCCAATGTGCATATTTGATTGTCTAATGTGCTCTGTATATTACTGGTATCCCTCACAGACTAACCTTATGCTATTGTCATGCACATTCAGTAACTTCGTTGCCAACTACTTCACGGCAGAAAGTTCAAATAGCGGGTAATGCTCTCTAGTCCAGTTCTACTGATGGCCTCCTGTTTAGTCTAGATGATTATTATGATGATGTCTTATCCTGTTGTATTGGCATACAAGATGAATGAGAGATGGCTCCTCTGATTTAAAAGAAAGAAGAAATGATTCTTTCAGAAGGAAGGTACATAAAATGATGAGTTTTAAAATGAATAACTTAATGGAAATGGAGCATGTCAAAGTACGTAGAGTCTGTAACTGGAAAAGAGGCCTATAAATCATGAATTTCATAGTTAATGCAACACTTTCTATCTGGAGGGATCAATATAGCTGATCTCATGAGTGAGAAGTGAGGATAAGAACGTCATAAGAGCCATAACTTTCGTACAGTGCTCACTTGAGTGCCATAATTTTTTAAAAATAATTCAGTTGAGTGTCATCGGTGATTTCCCGTACCGGAAAATCCAATGTGGCATTAATTCCGGGAGTGCTTAATTGTTCAGTGTGAAGGACTGTGAGAGAAATTTGTAGCTTAGAGTGATACTCATGCTCCTCGTCTTTATTCCAGGAATGCGTAATTGTTCAGTGTTAAGGCATTACTTTCATCTTTCACTGTGAGAGAAATTTGTAGCTTAGAGTGATACTCATGCTCCTCTTTTGTTTGGTTAGAGGTCAGTATATTTGTTGTAGAGTCTTGTAGTGTGCTTCTTTTTTATACTCCGCCCTCTTGGCCAGTAGCTTCAACCACGAAAGGATACAAGGTAGTGAGTAAAGTCAAGATGTATGACATGTGGATATCGGCATTATTTTGAATACAAGATAATAATGGTACCAGCAACTGGAATGAGGGGGAAGAATGCACATGTATGTACGAAATTTAATCAAACCCCAGTCGCAGATTAAATGTGGCGTTTCCTCTAAACTGCGGGAGTTTAGTGGCTTTTGCATTAAGCAATGACTCATTTGTTGGAAAAATTCCATAGATGACCTTTTGATAGGATAGTCATGATGTAGACTTTTTGTTTGCAGTTTGCTGAAATCTGCTGACCCTCCTAACACATAAACTATGTACAAGAGAATAATGAAAATATGCACCTTTAGCTAACAAAATCGAAGACATCAGTCGGCAGATCAACCATTCTTTCCGTGTAGCACCCTACATGAAAACTAATACCTGAATATACTTGTATGTTTGCTACCCTGTACAGTTAAGTATAATCTCTCTTTGTTTTGAACTTAGGGAATTTCCATTGGGATGGATTTGCCTTCAACAACCGTTTCGTTGCAGCCAAGACGCTAGAGTCAGTAAGTTAAAGTTAGAAATATTTTCACTTTTTTTCAGAACATAGATTTCGATGGAATAAATTATCATCAGCAAGAACTTTAAACGTAATCCAATATAATAGTTGTTTCAAAATTGCATCCACGGTTTGTCTCATTTGTTGTCAGTAGTCTACTCTCTTCTTCATTAATCTAGGGTCGGTAAGAATAGTTGGCTGTCCTGTCATTAGTTCTTTTCTGCCGAAGTATCACCCCAGTAAGTATTTATATTGATTGGACCCTTGGAAAATGCAGAAACTGATTGTCTGTAAGCAAATAACATTCCAAGGGCCTAAAGAAATGGTTCGACATTAAATTGTCAATTGTCTTTCTTCTCGATTGAGAAAACAATCTTATTATAATTCATTGTACTCTACTGTGGAAGATTTTCCTAAATATGGAAGCTAATGAGAAGGAGCATCAATCATCATTTTGACATGTCAAAGGCCTCTTTTGCACCCATGAATCATGATTACTCACACTAATTGAACAGGCAGGACTCTTGGTCGTACACTGATGCCATTGCAAATAAACCTCCTCTAAAAAATAAGGCCACCTCCTTGAAGGTACGAACATCACCCTGTAGATTGCAGCCAAACCAAGAGATAGAACTTAATAAGAAAGAGGCACCAAAGTTTGTAGGCTTGGACAATGTTGCTCCTAATGAAGAATCTTCATAAAATTGCGGATTTGTCAAATGCTCCTCACAGTTTTTGTCCTAACTATTTTGGGTCATCAGACCAAAAAACTTTTAACATACCAAAGAAAGGGCTTAAACAGTCACGTTGCTCACTTTTTTAAGTGTGCATGGAGTATCAAATTGCTAAAAAAGCTTAGGAGCCACTTAATGCAGCATTTGATTTGTCTCTGCTTCTCAGCTTAATCTAGTATTATCCACTGTGCATGGCATTGAGGAAATATTGGGTGCTATCACTGAAGTAAGCAGTGCAGTCAACTCCCCATGCTCCATCTACCATATTTTGAGTACAAGCACAGCTAGCATAGCATAATGGCTTTTACATTCTTACATATGACCTCAATCAACTCTACCGCCTGCCATTACATGTGAGGTCTTGCTATTGGCGAGATTGTTTTTTCTTTTTTTTGACTTGTCACTGTAGTACTAGAATAATGAACAGTATGATGTACATTTGTCATCTAAAATGAACATCATTGAAGTTCATTTTGATGGCTGATGTTGTGCAATAGAGCGGAATTGCTCTGCACTCTTAAAAGGAGTTTGTCCTACGGACAAAGGACATGTGAGCATGTGGGCACGCTTCAATGTTAAGTCTGAGCATGTCGTCTTGATGAAGGTTGAATACAACTAAGATGAAACTTTGTCAGTAAGCTATTCATAGTGTAGCATAGATGTTTGACAAGGCATAGTATATGTTAAAATATCTCAAATTGATTGTCTATGATATTTATATTGGCATTATATACATGTGATCTCTCTCTGCTGAATAGCTTAAGCTTTTGGATGGACATTTTAACATTGTATCAGAGCCAATTTGTGCTTTGGTTCATTTCACTCGTGTGACTCTCCGTTCGTTAATTTCATGTGCTGTTCTGAGTCATGTTTGCACAAGAGAGGAAATGTTAAAGTACTACACGTAACTTGTCACAGGATTTATATAGGCCTCGTATACAGGTGGTTTCCCTCCACCTGAGAGTGAAAGATTTTGAGTGGACGTTCTAATGGTATTCAACCAGATAAATTATGTTTTCCTTTGCAGATATTAGTTTTGCAATCAATTCTGGGGGGTCCGCAAGTCGAATCTTCTGATGGAACTTTGTTTGAGGCTGACGATAACAACAACATTGGTCCAGCTTCGTTCTTCATTAGTGAGACAAAGCGGTGGGCACTTAGCAATGTTGGGATTTTTAATGATGCTACCAACTACCAATTCACATGTTCAACCTCCGATGCCAACTTGAATATGCAGGACCGAGCTCTCTTCCAAACAACGAGGACATCTTCATCATCACTGAGTTACTATGGGTTGGGACTCCAGAATGGCAACTACACAGTGAATCTTTGGTTTGCAGAAACAGCTTTTCCAGATGATAACCAGTGGGCTAGTCGGGGAAGGCGTATATTTGATATTTATATTCAGGCAAGTCTTTAGACCTGTTTGCTGCATAAAGTATGTTGGTGGCATGAAACTCCAGTAAGACGTACTGGATGCACAACTATAATATCATTGGGATGGCTATTTATGAGCTTATGACTTTATTTGAGACTATGCTCGAATTTTGTTTCACAATTCTTCATCAACAGCATCGGGTTCATGATGGACCTTTACTTTATTGAAGTCCCTGCACAAGAGTGCTTATCGTACAAGCACCTTGAATAATTATATCCTCACTCCAATGAATTATATTTTCCAGTTCATCATGAGAAAAAGAATGACTACCATTTCGTCTCCGTGTTCTTGGTGCATCTATTTTTACAATTGTCACTACTAGTGTACAAACTCAAATATTACGGC